CCACATCACTCATCAAGAAGATGCCCCTCAGACATGGCCACAGGCCAGTCCAATAGAGGCAATTCCCCAACTGAGGCTCCCTCAACCCAGGTGTGTCAAGTTGACACTAAAGCTATCCATCACAGACACTATTCTTACTTTTCAAGATGCTTTGACTTGAGAGCAAACTTGATCCTCAAATTATTCATTGCAACAAGCAAAACAAGTCATCCGAGTTAACATTAAAGAAACAAGTCAAATGGAGGAAGTGACACCAAGCTCTGGTCACATCTTGGCTTTCATAACTTTTCCACCACAACATCCATCACCATCACAAGTCTGACATCAGTCAAGTCCAGTAATCTTGAAAAGTGCTGTATCTTTCATAAACTTCAAAATAATCTTCCCTTCCCTTGTCTTCCAAGCCTTTGTTCACAGAGTTGCTGCTGTTTCAAACTAAGAGCTGGGTGCTAACAATCTCCAATCCTGCTTTGCTCTCAAACATATTGTACATTATCAGTCCACAGTGGCCACCTCCTTTGTTCTGCCATGTTCTCAGAAGATAAAGGGCATGGCTGGAATTTGTATACTTACGTATTAACGGCATGTTATAACATTTTAATTACGATGGTGGGATGTATGCATATATATATTCATATACTACCTTTAATATATATGTGCAAATATATTACCTTTAATAATATATATTGAAATAAATTTTTATGCTGAACAGGCTCCAGTGGATGAACTCACACCAAGGAACATCTGGGGACACAAACTTGACTCAATAGGCCTTAACGTATATGACAGAATGCAAGAAATCCAGTGAATGGGAGGTGCAGATAGGGGAGGGATGAAAATATGATTAAGATGTAGGAAATGCACAAAAAATTCAATAGAAATATAAAGAAAAATGTATAATATACATTTTAAATCTTATTTATTTATATATGTATGTATATACACACATTATTATCATTAGAAATGAGGCTTCCTTATCTGTGAAATAGAAGCAATAATTATTGTTTCATGAATTTATTGTGACAGATAAATGAATGATTAGTGAACATTAAATACCTAGAATAGTCCCTAATGCAGAAAATACAA